GAGCAGGGAGCCCGACGCGGGGCTCAATCCCAGGACCCTGGGATCATGACCTGAGCCGAAGGCAGACGCTCAACGACCGAGCCACCCAGGCACCCCTCAAAGGAAGAATTTTAATTCACCATCTTATTAGCTTTATTATTTCATCATGAAAAGATGAAGATTCTCATGCAGTTACCTATATCCCTTTTTCAGTACTGTCACACCATAGTTTAATTATTTTTTTTAAGATTTTATTTATATGAGAGAGCGAGTGAGCAGGAGCAGAGGGGGCATGGAGGGGGGAAGAGCAGAGGGAGAGGGAGAAGCAGGGAGCCTGACGCAGGGCTTGATCCCAGGACCCCGGGATCATGACCTGAGCCAAAAGTAGACGCTTACCCGACTGAGCCACCCAGGTGCCCCCATAGTTTAATTATTTAGGAAGTCTTTGAACTAGAGTACGAATTATTCTTAGAGTCAGCTGTCCACATATGCCCCCCCATTAAGGATTCTAGAGGTATAGAAGCACATTTTTCAAATAAATGTACCTTTATTCAATTTACAGTGTTAATACAAGCATACTATCTTGGTATGTTTTAAGTCAAAGGATTCAGATTTCCGATTTTTAAAATACTGAAAGAATGAGAATATATCAACATAATAATTATAATTCAGTACTTAAAAAATAACATGATTTACTAGAATACAGTGAACCCAAGTGACAGTCATTAATTTAAACAAATAAGGAAATACAACAATGAATGTTATCCTATTTTATCCTCCTTTGTCCCTGCTTTTAAAATATCCTCTATTATTACCTTTTCTCGGTACAAGACCCCCTTCTCTGACTTTGGAGAGCTGTGTTTGAAGGTAGCTCCAAGAAAATCCCAAGAATTGATATAAAATAATAAAACACTAGTGATACTTAACAATGCCCGGAAGACATTTGGTTCTTATATACAGTAGGCATAATTTTATATGGGCTTTAGCAAAGCACATGTAATTTTGTCAAAATTGTATATAATATGGAGAAATGCAGGCCAGATGTAGTAAAAGCCAGATGAGTGACTGCTTTGTAAAGGCAAAGTCCATCCTCTGCCTTGTTGAGGTTCCCCACCCCCATTTGATGTGTTGCTGGATTGTATTTGCAGACTTTAGCAGTGTGAAAAAAACTTGCCATGCAGGGAACCTCAGAAAATAAAAACAAGTTTTACGGAGTGAGCCATTCGGCTAAGGTGTGACCAGTTGGAGGAGGGGTAATGCTGGGAATCCCATACTCTTGGTCTCTTTTTCTCCCACCTGACCAGCTCATGGACCCCTCTGAGGAGCGCAGTTTGTAAAGTACTGTAATTTGTGACACACACAGGGGCTTCCAACCCCAAGGACTTCTGACAGCTGATCATTTGTGACCACTGACCGATAATTTTCTGACCTCCTTATCTAAGAATTTTTTAAAATGTGTAATATATACTTGTGCTTTTTTTTTTTTTTTTACAGGAAAAATATTTTCCTGTTTTGTGTTCTACATCTTCAGCTTCTATAAAATCTCTGGCCAGAGACCGTCGTGTTTCATATGATAAGGATGCTGCTCCTGGCACATCTAAAATAGTGATGTCAACAGGTAAATTAGTATAGGGTATTAGGGTATAGTATAGGGTATTAGGGTATAAAATTACTAATCTTTTACTCTGTGTTATTTTAGTGTCTTTGAAATTTGAGCAATAAAATAAGAGGAAAAAAGATGATAAGACACGTTTTTGGTTTTTTCTTAGCATTTTTCATATTAAAGTATTTTGAAATTCTGGTTGTTCATTTTGATGTTATGGAAAAACTGTTTAAATATACAAGTCACTTGAAAATTCACTACTCTTAAAGTATTTTATCCAGCTTAGTAAGATTTACAAAATTTACACCATTGTCAAATCTATTTTGTTTTCCCTTTATCTTACTTCACAATGTCTTTTTGTCTTGTATGTACTTTTAAAGCTACTTCAAATCTTTTTAAAATGTCTTTTAAAATCTTGAAAGATCCTTTCCTGTCAAGGGGCATGATGACTTTAAATTATTCTCTGTTATGTGAAGAGTATGAAATGACACAAACCTAGACTGAACAAATCTCCCTTTTATTTGTCATCTCTTCTATGTTTTCTTGTTGCCTTCCTATTTTTTAAAGCATGTACCATTGCTTTTTCTCCTAGTTTTGTCTTTCTTATACTCTTCTGTTCCTTAGACTTTTCTTCCCAATTTGCCTTTCCTGATTAAAAATAAATTATTATTTTTTGAAATAGAAATCACTTAAAGGATTATTGTAACATACTTCATTTTGTCAGTTTATTATTTCTGATTTTTAGTCTGTTGGCAGGAGAGACTAGCTAAATAAGTATAACGCAAAGGAGATAAAACATTGAAATCTTTGTTTAGCTTCACTTGTGTTCAGTAGGACTTTGTCCATCCCATCAGCACCATGGATTTTTATTTTTTTTAAAAGATTTATTACTTATTTTAGAGAGAGAGAGAGAGAGAGAGCATGAGCAGGAGGGGCAGAGGGAGAGGGAGAGAGATTCTCAAGCAGACTCTGCGCTTAGTGCGGAGCCCAACTCACGATCCCAAGATCACAACCTGAGCCGAAACCAGGAGTCGGACGCCCAACTGACTATGCCACCCAGGCACCCCCCGGTTAAGTTTTTAATAGCTGTTTCATTTCTGTGACAGAGTCCATCCTTCCTTTGGCTATTGCCACAAGGTTGAATTATGTATTTCAACATAGTGAAAGTGAGATTAATGGGTTTTTATTGTACTGAATATAGACCATGTATATGTAAAATTTGGCAATATAAATTAGGTAATGGATAAAAATAACGTGCTTCTTGATTTAGGGGGACAGTATATTTTATGCTTGGTAATAATGTACTCTCATATTGTTACATTGTATGTTGATTTATATTTATTGATTCTCTGAAGAAATATTATGGAAACATGACATTTGTGTGATTATAGATGATTTGCTTCTAAGTCATATGCTTTTATTATACTAAGGAAAGTGTTATTTTTTAATTTTCTTCAGTGAACCTTGGCATGTATATAAAGAACATTTTTATTTTCCTTAAGTTAATGAAAAAAAATTAGGTCATTAGAACTTACTGTGTGGCATGTATCTTAAATTACTTGGTTACTTTAGAAAATACAATGAAGGTGCAGTGTTGGTGATTTAAAATAAATTCAGTCCAAGAAGTGTATTCACATGATCAGTTTTGAAAGAAAATTCTTATACTGTGTGTACAATTAAAAGGTGAAAATATTTATCTTTATACCATTTTACATGATGTGGGAATGTGTGAAGAATTGTTTTGTGATGCTATTAAAAGTTGGATAGTTTTTATTATAATTATTCTAGGCAAAATTCTAGAAAGTTGACTAGGCATTTGGATTATTTCTAGATTTAAGGTCTTTATACAAATGTGAAAATATATTTGCATACATATTTTTAGGTAGCAGAAATGATTGTTGATATTAACTATATTTGGGTCTCTGAGTAACGTGTGGCTAGTGGGATATAGTAATTAATTATGTAATGTTTATGTTGCTTTTAACCAATCTGATTGTTGTATTTATATACACACGTTTCCTCTAGTCTGTGTCTATGTAAACAAACATGGAAACTGTGGCCCTCACCTGGATCAGAAGAAAATCCAGCAGCTGCCTGACCACTTTGGCCCGGGCCCCGTGAATGTGGTGCTCCGGAGGACCGTGCAGGCCTGTGTGGATTGTGCCATTCAAAGTAAGACTGTTTTTGGATTTCTTAAGCCAGATCATCGTGGAGGAGAAGTGATAACTGGTATGCTCAACTAACCCTTTATTCAGCTCTTCTTACAAATTTGATTTTATTTTAAAACGGCAAGGATTTTATAATATATAGATTATTTTATAATATTTATAGTCTATTAACTACTTATAATATTGACATACTTACATTGATATAATAGAATATTTATAATAATACCTATTTATAGATTTTTAACTGTGGGAAAGTTTAACTTTACGTTCAAAATAGACAATGGTCAGAGTCATACTGTAAATTGAGGTAAAAGATTTTTTTACATGCTGTATTAAGCTCACTATAGACAAAATACCTTGGTTGATAATATATTTTAATGTTTTTAGAAAACAGACTGATCTATAGGAAGCTCTAAATGAAAATGTGACTCAAGAACTGCTAATGAGATAAGATCCAACTGGCTTTCATGATTGATCAGTTACTATGTTTATACCCACAGAATGCTCGGAGTAGCAGGAAGTGGTAGAGATTGCTGGGTTGCTGCTGCTGCCCTTGTTGTTGTTTGCCTTGGGAATACTTTGTAAATGAGAATGCCTTTACCAATGTAGGCTGTTGTGTTTGAGAGGGGCCTTTATAATTTAAGAATATTCCTTTATAAATTACAAAAACTACGACTTAGATTTATAATACATTTCCTAAATTGATGGCTTTTTTGATGTTGTAGTTTTATCTTTCTATGAGCTAACTCTGACATCTCTTTTCCCCCCAATAGCTTCCTTTGATGGGGAAACTCACTCTATCCAGCTCCCTCCAGTGAATAGTGCATCATTTGCTCTTCGCTTTCTTGAGACCTTATGCCATAGCTTGCAGTGTGATAACCTTCTGAGTAGCCAGCCTTTTAGCTCTTACAGAGGTACTACTCCTAATCCTGCAGAGCATGATAAAAATAAATCAGGTGAGAGAAAATGTAAAATTTTGTACTGTGCTTCTATTTTATATTTTATAATTAACGCGAGAATCTTGTGTAATTTAGTTTTTCCTCATGTTCTCCTCAAAGTAAACATTTTAGCCACCATGAACTAATTAGACATGTATAATATATAGTTGTTTTTGTTCATTCAAAGTGGGCAAGTAATTTCTTATATTCATAATGAACTTGAGAATCAAAACCTGAAAGTATCCTGTGGTTTGATGTGCATTTCCCTAATGGCTGAGGTTGTTAAGCATCTTTTCATGTGCTTATTGGCTATTTGTAGATGTTCTTTGGAGAAATGTCTATCTAAATCCTTTGTCTATTTTTAATTGGGTTCTTCGTCTTTTTATTACATAGAAATGAAATATATTTGTTCCTCATATATTATATTTATATTTGTTAATATAAAGAGTTCTTTGTATATTCTGGATACAAGTTCCGTATCAGAAATACCCTTTGTGTATATTTTCTTCCATTCTGTAGGTTGTCTTTTCACTTTCTTGATGGTGTCCTTTGAAGCACAAAAGTTTTTAATTGCAGTGAAGTCCAATTTACCTATTTTTTCTTTTGTTTCTTGTACTTTTGGTGTCATACCTAAGAAAATATTCCTTAATACAGTTTCACAAAGATTTACTCCTATGTTTACTCCTAAGAATTTTATAGTTTTAGCTGTTATATTTTAGGTTATTGGTCTATTTTGAATTTTTCTATATACAGTGAGATAAGGGTCCAGTTTCATTCTTTCACATGTGGATATCTAATTGTCCCAGCACCATTTGTTGAAAAGACTACTCTTTCCCTATTGACTTGTCTTGGCACCCTTGTGAAAAATCAGTTGGCTGTAAATATATGGATTTATTTCTGGACTTCATATTTCATTGATCTGTATGTCAATCCTCATGGCACTACCACACTATCCTTTTTTTTTTTTTTTTTTAAGATTTTATTTATTTATTTGACACAGAGAGAGAGAGAGCACAAGCAGGGAGAATGGGACCCTGGGATCATGACCTGAGCCAAAGGCAGACACTTAGCCAACTGAGCCACCCAGGCACCCCAGTACCACAGTATCTTGATTACTGTAGCTTTTTGTAGTAACTTTTGAAATTAGGAAGTATGAGTTTTCCAACTTTGTTCTCCTTTTTCAAGATTGTTTTGGCAATTCTGGGTTTCCATATGATTTTTAAGTTCAGTTGTCATTTTCTGCTGGAATTTTAGTAGAGATTGTGTTCAATCTGTAGATCAATTCAGGGATTATTGCCATCTAATAATATTGAATCTGGGTGGCTCTTGATTTCAGCTCAGGTCATGATCTCAGGGTCTTGGGATTGAGCCTCGCATCCAGCTCCATGCTCAATGTGGAGTCTGCTTGTCCCTCTCCCTCTGCTTCTCCCTGCTTGCATGTTCTCTCTCCCTCCCCACCTCAAATTAATTAATCAATTAATTAATTAATAAAATCTCTTAAAAATTAATATTGAGTCTTCTAGTTCATGAATATGGGATGTCAATGTATTTAGGTCTTCCTTAATTTATTTCAATAATATTTTGTAGTTTTCAGAAAGCACATCTGGCACTTCTTTTGATAAATTCATTCCTAAACATTTTATTGTTCTTAACACTATTGTAAATAGAATTATTTTCTTAAATTTTGGGTTGTTCATTGCAAGTGTGTAGAAATGCAATTGATTTTTGTATTATTAATCTTTATTCTGTGATCTTGCTGAATTTGTTACTTACCATTGGGGTTTTTGTATGTGTGAATTTCTTAGGATTTTCTTAGTCTGTTTTGTCTGATGTTACTATAACCAGTCCAGTTTTAAGTACTGTTTGTATGGTATATTTTTTCTCACCTTTCCCTTTGAACTTATTTGTATATTTGAATTTAAAGTGTATCTTTTGTGTTAATTATGTAATTGGAACATGGTTTTTTTTTTTAATCCATTCTGCTAATTTTTTTACTGGAGTGTTTTTCTCATGGACAGTTAATATAATTACTAATAAGTATTTATTTATTCATTCATAAGGTTGGATTTACATCTACCATTTTGTTATTTGTTTTCTAGGTCTTATTGTTTCTTTTTGTCTTTTCTTCTTTTCTTTGATAACTTTCCTCTTTTGTTTTAAATAGATGTTTTTTTTTCTATTTTTATTTTTTTATTTGTATATGAATCCTAGTTTTAAATAGATGTTTTCTTGTATACTATCTTAATTCCTTTGTTGTTCCTTCTACTAAAGTTTTTGAGTTGTTTTTTTTTTTTTTTTTCTGTCCAGGGGTTATTTTCATAGTAGTTGCCTGCCGTGGGGATTACAATTAATATCTTAATTTAAAACAATCTCATTTGGATTAATACCAACTTAATTTTAATATTATGCAAAAACCTTGCTCTACTACAGCTCTATTTCCTGCCCCCTTCTTTGTTCTTTTATTGCCAAATTATATTTTATACATTATAAGCCCCAAAATACAATTTTGTAATTTTTTCCTTTTTTTTATTATTATCATTTTTTTGTATTTTAAGTAAGCTTTCTTCCCAACATGGGTCTTGAACTCATGACCCTGAGATCAAGAGTCACATGCTCTACTGACTGAGCCAGCCCGGCGCCCCTACTTGTTTTTTTAAGGGAAGAAGAAGAAGAAAAGAGTTATAAAGACAAATATATTTGGGGTACCTGGGTGGCGCAGTCAGTAAAGCATCCAACTTTGGTTTCCACTCAGGTCTGATGTCAGGGTTGTGAGATTGAGCCCTTCGTCGGGTTCCACACTCCACAGTCAGCATGAGTCTGCTTGGGTTTCTTTCTCCCTCTCCCTCTCCCCCTCCCTCCCCTGCATGCACACTCTCTCTCATAATAAATATTTAACCATAGATATTTTAACTGGTACTCTAATTTTTTTTAAGGATTTTATTTATTTGAGAGAAAGAGCGAGTGAGAGAGAGAGCACACGAGCAGGGGCAGAGGGAGGGAGAGGGAGAAGCAGACTCCCCTGCTGAGCAGGGAGCCCAACACTGGCCTCAAAATCAGGACCCTGGGATCATGACCTGAGCTGAAGGCAGATGCTTAACAACTGAGCTACCCAGGCACCCCAGCACTCTTTAATTTTTTTATGTGGATTTGAGTTACTATTGAATGTAATTTCATTTCTTGTAGGTAAGCTGTTCAAGTGAGGAATTTTTTCCCTTTTTAAAAAAAAATTTTTTTTTTTTTTTAAAGATTTTATTTATTTGACAGAGAGCAAGCACAAGCAGGGGAGCTGCAGGCAGAGGGAGAGGGAGAAGCAGGCTCCCCGCGGAGCAGAGAGCTCTACTTGGGGCTTAGTGCCAGGGCTCCAGGATCACGACCTGAGCCGAAGGCAGATGGTCAACCGACTGAGCCACCCAGGCACCCCAAATTTTCTCACTTCTTTAAAAAAAGATTATTTTAGGGAGAGAGAGAGCAGGGGGAGGGACAGAGGGAGAGGGAGAGAGAGAATCTCAAGCAGACTCCCCACAGGGCAGAGCCTGACCCCACAACCCTGAGGTCATGATGGGAGCCAAAACCAAGAGTCAAATGCTCATCCAATTGAGCCCTCCAGGTGCCCCTCACTTTTCGTTTGTGAAGAATTTCTTATTTCTCCTTCATTTTTTAAAGTTTAGTTTTGTTGGATGTAGAATTCTTAGTTGACTGTTTTAGCAATTTGAATATATCATCCCACTTCCTACTAGCCTTTATAGTTTCTGATGAGAAGTCAGTTGTTAATCTTATTGAGGATCCCTTGTATGATGATTTGCTTTTCGCTTGGTAATTTCAAGATTCTCTTTGTCTTTTGCTTTTGATAGTTTGACTGTGTTTTTCCTAGGTGTGGCTGTCTTTGAATTTACCCTACCTAGTTGGAGATAGTTGAGTTTTTTGGATATTCAGATTACTGCTTTTTATCAAATTTGGGAAACATTTAGCCATTACTTTTTCAAATATTCTTTCTGTCCCTTTCTCTCTGTCACTTCTCCTTCTGGAGCTCTTCCATTATGTGTATTTTGGTGTCGTTGATGGTATCCCACAGGTCTCTTTTCCTCATTCTTTTTTCTTTCTGTTTCTTAGACTTTAAAATCTCAATTGACCTTTCTTTAAATTGGCTGATTCTTTCTTCTGCTGTTGAGCCCTTCTAGTGAATTTTTCATTTCATTTATACTACTTTTCAAGTCCTAATTTCGATTTGTAATTTTTTATCATTTTATTGATAGTCTCTATTTGGTGAGACTTTGTTCTCATACTTTCCTTTAGTTCCTTAGACACGATTATTATTTTTTAGTTCTTTGAACATAAATAAAATTGCTGATTTAAAGTCCTTGTTTACTAACTCCAGTATCTGGGCTTCCTCAGAGGCAGTTTCTATTGACTGTTTTCCCCTGCTTTGTATAGGCCATACTTTTATGTTTCTTGCATGTCTCCTAATTTTTAATTGAAAACTGGACATTTTAAAAGAGTGTAAAGCAGTAACTCTGAAAATCAGATTTTCTCCTCTTCCCTAGGGTTTGTTGTTGCTGGTCCTTTTGTATAGTAACTTACCTGGACTAACCTAATGACTTCCTGGGCTCATTTATTATATGTGGCCACTGAAGTTTGCTCATTTAGCTTAGTGTTCAACAAATGATTGGACAGGGATTTCCATAAATGCCTCCATCCTTTGCCACAGAGTTCATGTATGTGTTGGAATTTACCTTGAACATTCCAGGAGGCAGTTTACAAGTCTGCTTTGTGCAGAGCTTCAAGGTCAGCAAGAAATGAAAGATTAAGGTCTTAGGTCTTTCCTGGGCATGGATACTGCCTTGCACATGCATATGGCCTTCTAGATTCCCAGGAGTATCTCTATGGTTTTCAAAGTCTGCTAATGGACATTTTATTCTCCAGGTTTGTTTTTAAAGCTTTTTGGTCAGTTTCCTATCAGCCCCAAATGATGATGCTGCCTTAGGCAGCTATAGTGTTAAACAAGCACTACGGTGGATTTTTTTGATTTGTTTGCTTGTTTGATTGAGCAGTGCCTTAGAGATAGGACTGTTCACACAGAGCAGGCTCTGATTTAGGTCCAATAAAACAAGGCCTGAGATCAGAGCTTTCCATTGAGTTTCAAGGTTGGTCAGATTGTGCCGGTTCTCTGGGGATAGGGCCTTTTGAGAGCTCCAAACCCATTGTGTTCCCTCTAGTGGCTGCTAGGATTTGCTGGCTTTCACAGCTACAGTACTTATGAACCTGTTGGTTTGCAAAGCTGCTGCAAAAACAGTGAAGGGGATGATGGTAGGGAAGCTAAAATGCCACAGAATTTGCTGTTCTTTCTGAGGTTCAGCCACTTTTTTCTTGAACAAATGCTTTTTGGGTTTTGTAATGTCCAGAGTTTTTGAAAAATTAATTTTGCCAATCTCTTCGTTATTTTTATGAAGAAGTGGATTTTGCAGGTCTTTAATCAGTCATCCCGGCAGTGCCTCTCTATGATGACTTTTAAAGTATTTTGTAAATTATCTGGCTTTTTCTAGTTATCTCTGCAGGAAGAGTTTATTGTGCCTGAGCTTACTACAATACCCAGGAGCAGAAGTCAGGAGTCATTTTTATGTTTTATCAGCCCCAGATAGTAGACCATACACTAGCTTCATTAACTTTTTATAAGAAAGCATTAGAATATTACAAGTAAAAGAAAAGATTTTCTGATCTTGCTAAGATTCTGAGGTAACATACATCTGTAGAAAACTATACATTAGTATTTGAATTTTCCATATCATTAAATGAGCATGAAAAAAGCCAATTTTTTCTTTATAGGAATTTAAATGTCCTAATTATGTAAATATTTGCCATTCACAGAAATATGTTTTGCCTGTTGGTTTTTGTAGTCCATGATTAAAAATAAAATCAAGTGGTAAGAGCTCTCTTAGACTCTTTAGTAATCAGTAACCAGATGGCTAAAAGTTGCTTATCGGATGATCTTAAGAAGCATGCCAGGCCCACAGCTATTTTGAACCAGATGAAGTTTGACTTTGGTACATTCTCATTGCAATCTTCTCATGCAAGTTCTATTATCAGACTATTTAGATTTCTATTATACTTAATTTTTCCTTTTAGTTGGAGGTTAAATCAAGATATTGATTGATATTTAGAGTTTAATTAATAATTTGAGATGTCGTTACTTTCAGGATCATGCCTTAAAGAGTGGTCCTTTAGGTAAAAATGCATTTGGTTTAATAATAAGCTGTAGAGTTATAGGAAGGGTAGCTCTGGGCCAGGACTGTAGCCTATAAAATGAGATGTCCACTATACACTGTCTTCTCCTTCTCTGAATTCTTAACTTTTTTTGTTCATGGGAACAGTTTTCCTAGGCCTTTTTAGACACATTATAATTGATTGCCTCACTGCTTCCTGAGATACTTAGAGATATCTGATGATCCTAGAGTAAATGATGCCTGGATATAATTCTTTTAGCTCTTGAATATGATGTCACTGAAATATTTAATGGGATGAAATCAACACATATTATTCATAAATAAGCAAGTAACTGATAAATTGCTGATGAAGTTACAGTAGGCAAATGATTTAGAAACAAAAGTGTTATATGCTGATGATCTGAAAATGCTTGAGGAATGTTAGTTATAACAGACACCTTTTTTTTAAACAGTAAAAGAAGACATAACAGAAAAGAAAAGCCCCAAACGGTCTTCACAGGAACCTATACCTTATGTTGCTCCTGTGTCACCTAAGCTCCCCAAAACAAAGATGCATGCCCCTAAAGGTAAATAGTATTTACAAGTTCCTGGAATGGGAAGAAAAGTCACTCTACTACCACTTAACTATATGCTCTTGGGTGGGGGTGTGTATTTGCCCAAATCAGGTGAGCATTTAGGCTACTACTTTGGCAGCTTTGTCAAGAGTTTCATTCCCTTCAGAAGTACACAGTTGTCATTTCTCCTTAGATAAAAGTAAAATAATTACAGTAACATTTTCCATTCAGCTTTGTATTACTGAAAGCTGATAAAAAGCGAATAGAAAAACCTAGTGCCTAGTGCCTTTCTCCACTGAAAGTTTTAAGTGTCCAAGTAGTAAGCAAATGTTAGAAGCCAACTGTGTGATCATATTATAATGGTTGTGAAGAACTGCATTCCTCAAAATGAATGCTTTAGTGAGGTGTTCACAGGTTTGGTAGCAAGACTGGGAAGGGACAGTTGCCACGAGAAATACAGGTGACATAGTGGAATCAATTTGGATTTTAAGACTGTGTCCATTCCTATAAATGCCAAGGAGGGGGGTGGCCACGTACTTTATGTTAGAGGTTTATGGTTCAGTATAGCACGGCTTAAGTGAACTGTTGAAGATTAGGAGATGTTTTGACCTTTTAGTAGTGTTTAAGCTATAAAGTCTACTGAAGATAATTGCCTTTGTCTTTTTTTCTTGTAGAAGAACTATTGTCTTCTGAGGGAAATGGCGTGCCCAAAGAGGAAAAGCTTCCTGAAGATTCCAAAAACTCACCACTAAATCCAGCAAATTCTTTAAGCTCTACCAGCAGAAATCCTGTAAGCACTCATACTGCAGTCTCCAGGAATTTTTCTCCAAGTGTGCCAGGCACCTCAAGTTCAGCACTAGTGGGGACCAGATCTACCAAGAGCAGTCACCATGAAGTTAAATTCCAAATGCAGAGGAAAAGTGAAGGTATATTTAAAAACAGTGATTCTCAACCAACGTGTTTCTTTCTCCTTAAGGTTTCTTTGCCCAACAACATCCCTTGAGAGTGTATCATATTGGAGAAAGTGCCAAGATTGAGGAGTTTGAGTCCTCCCTGTTTATGTTACTGTCAGGGTCAAGCCACTACAGATGCTCCGATCCTCATGGCGGCATAGAAGTATCCCTGGGGATCTGGGTCCCAGCCATGTCTCTCATAGACTTCTTAGATCAGTACTTCTTATTAATGGTTCCATTGTACTTTATCACTTCACTGGATCCTGTCTGGACTCCGAAACCTCATGTGACTCTGAGGCCGGGAAAGATGCACTTCCTCTCCTTTCTGATGTACTCTCTTCCTTGTCTCTTTTGAGACCTTTCCTGACTCCAGCCTGCGTGTGGCTCCCAGATCTGGGCTCTGGTATTCTGTTGTGGTAGCTATTTCCCCATTCTCCATATCTTCAGTTACTCCCTCAGACCCACCAGGAATACATAACGTGTAAACAGGGCCGCATCCTTTTGCCATTTGGAAAGAGCCAGAATAGTTTTCCATGTGCAAAGATAGTTACCCTCTACCCTTTTAAGGATGAATGGGGTGGGGGTAGGGGTGGGCCGAGGTGGGGTAAGGGTGGGAATGTGTTTTGTCCTTTTTCTCCTGGTAGGCATCTAGGCAAGGTGAGTATTGAAGGCAGTAGGAGCCATCCAACTTGATTGCTTTTCTTAGTGGATGTCTTCTATGGGCAGCTGTGCTGTATACGTGCTATGACATGTTTAATATCATCCCCCCATCTCCCACCTCATGTAGATCGTCTCTGCTTTCAGAATGACATTTGCAAGGAGTCTGATGGTAGATGCTTATCCCATCGAGGGGTAGTATACCCAGAATTTTTAGGTATTTTCACAAAATAAGAGCTTTGAAGACAGGCCTTCTCAGCAAAAGGCTATAAAAGGTTACCCCTGATACTGAATTCCTCACTTTCAAATGTATGACTAACACTACTATGCCAAAGTAGCCTGTATTTGAGCTTGAGAAGTCTAGCTTTTGCTCTTCCCAGGAGTGGAAAGACTAATAGTAATAACATTACTTACTGGTAATTTACTTATTGGTAATAGAAATCAGCATCATCTTCATCACTATCTGACGTGTGCCAGGCATGTAATATTTTACATAGCCTTTACAGCAATTCCTTAAGACGTACGTGCTGGTAAACATTTTCATGTGAGAAATCTGAGAAGTCACTTGACTAAGGTCCCCAGCTAGAAAGTGGCTGGGTCAGTCCTTGAATCCAGGCACTCTGTCTCCAGGCTGTACGCTTAACTGCTGGGCTGCTTCTATCTTCAGACAATAGGTAAGCATTTCCCTTGGAAACTGTCTAGAGGTGTCATTACTATTGTTTTCTTCAAGGTCTTGGAACTGTTACTTAAAGCTGAGTCCACCCCTGATGGCTGGTGATGCTCTCACAACCTCCTGCCCTGCCCCATTATTTGAATGAAATAAATTGTTCATTTTTATTATAGGAAAGAAATCCAATAACATTGTTGTGGATAAAATCAAATCACTTTTATTTATTTCAGAAACACTGATACTCTAGTGTAAGACAGAGCCATTCAGGAGAAAAGCACGACTGGACTTTGATTATTTTTCACATAGTTAGTTTATTTCATGTAATTATTTGAATAACACTAATGTTTACAACTTCTCTGATTGTTTTGAAGGTATGGGCCCAATTAAATGATTTCTCCATAATTAAACATAGATGATCTTTTTTTTTTTTTTAAAAGATTTTATTTATTTATTTATTTGAGAGAGAGAGAATGAGAGAGAGCACATGAGAGGGGGGAGGGCCAGAGGGAGAAGCAGATCCCCCCTGAGCAGGGAGCCCGATGTGGGACTCGAACCCGGGACTCCAGGATCATGACCTGAGCTGAAGGCAGTCGCTTAACCAACTGAGCCACCCAGGCGCCCAACATAGATGATCTTATAGTTGTTTTATTTTTAATATAAAATTATAGTTTTATACCATAAATTATATCTTTGCATATAGTTTTTCTGTAGTAATCTATAAAACTGGTTGCATGTTATTTAAGATATAACAGTACCGGATTCTGATGACATAAACCAGAAATCCCACAAAAAAGTTATTTAGAGGTATGATTAGCTTGATTAGCTTTGCCAGTAGTTTTTTCATCTTAAATTAAGTCTTTCTTAGAACTAAAGGAGAAGACTTTTCTGCCTAAATTGTTAGAATGCCTTAGGCACGGCATGGTCTATACCATCATCATTTCCATTTGGGTTGAAATAGCGCAGTAGCATTTCTTGGTAGATATGACCAACATTTTTATCTCTGACAAGTGAAAGGGAAGATATGTTTTAGTAAAGAGTTTTTGTTTCACATCAAAGTTGTCATATTGAAGGAGAAAATAAGTACACTTTTGAGCTACACACAAAAAAACTTACATTCTGAGTTCCTTTATCTTCTGTTTTTCTTTGCCCTTTACCTGGGTAAATACTCAAAATGCCCCTAAAATGGCTGGAGCCCAAATGATAGGAAAGAAAACGTGTATCTTTGGTTAAATCACCCCAAAAAAGACCAAATTTGTGTTGACGGTCCTTGTTTAAAGAAACAGATCTTCCCGGCAAATTACAAAACTCACTTCTGTTATCACACACTATCTTTAGAGAGTCAGGTGCTCTGGTTGAATAAAATGAATACTTGTCTGGACACGAAATTACAGCACAACTTGGTGAACAGCACAGCTAAAACTTTTTGAGGTATGAGTGCTTAATTCTATTTCTCAATTATTTCTTTTTTTGACCTAAAAACATTCAACCAGAGTATCTATTACTATGCAATTAAACTTGAGAGAGGTATTCAGTATAATGTTAAAGTTACTTCTGACCTAGCCAAGCAGAAAATAATCCTGTTTTCTTCAAAACTCAGATAACCATTTAAGCCTTAAGAGACAGGCATTTGAAGAATAAAGTGATGCTAAAATTATCCATATTGAATACATCGGAGAGATTCGGTAAAACTCATTTGGTTCTCAGACATAATGGGGTTATTGAAATTCCTTGATTAAAGTGAATAAATTTAAGCAACTATAAAACTAAATCTGGAGACTTTCCATTCTATTTAGCTAGTAAAAGAAACCTAATCTAGACAGACCAAGAGGAGAGAGATTGAGAGAAATTCAAGAGTAATAGGTTAGCTTAGATTAACCTCATTTACCCCAAACACCAGAACTTTTGTTGTCTTTGCCTGTGGCCCACAAGGCCTCAGATTGATCGGTCTGTTTTATGATTTTTGAGGCTTTAAGGTAAATTCTGAAGCTGCTTTTGTTGTTTGGGGGAGGTCAGATGGGGTGCTCTTGGGTAGCCATCCTCAGGTCATCCTAATCTAGGCTTTCACTGGATTCTACACTTGGAGTCCTGGGTCCTTGCTGGGGTGCTTAATAGAAGGTTCCAGGAATGGGACCATTTCTCCCTACCTAACATCTCTTCTTTCAGGATAATGATCAGGTCAAGTATGATTTGTCTTTTTTCCCCCCATTGAAGCTCCAAGTTATATAGCTGTACCTGACCCCAGTGTCCTGAAACAAGGCTTCTCTAAGGACCCTTCAACCTGGTCTGTGGATGAAGTGATACAGTTTATGAAACATAAAGATCCTCAGATATCAGGCCCCCTCGCCGACCTCTTCAGGCAACATGTAATGTATCTTTTGATCCGGTTTTCCTGCCGTAATGCCTTTCAATGACCTCTGTGCAGGCCCTTCAGTTGGATGGATGCTGATTAGTGTGGATGGTGGGGGAACCCTATCAACTGATTTTTCCATATGTGAGAAAGGTTACTTGGCCCAAAGTTAGATTCTTAAATGGTAGAGGCTGGATCTGTGCTTTAAATGGGTACCCGAGTACCTAAAATACTACAAGTCTTCAAGTTCTCAAGAGAAGATGATTCAGCATGGCCACTCTCAGATGTCTTCTCCCACAAGGATCCTCCTCCCCACCTGCTCCCTGCTCGGCCCCAGGACCGTGAGTAGGAGGGGGTAACCACAAACTGTGACAGGGTGTCCTGCCCAATGAATCCAGCAACTGTGTAAGATTAAGTGCAGTTTTATTTTAAATAGGAGCTCATGAATACCAAATAATATGCTTCTCTGACATAAATTGGTTAATTAAGGAAATAAAAAATTTTAGGAGGATGCCTTGTGTCTATTAAGTAATGTTTATAGTCTTTTGTAACAAATCAGTGACCAAATATCTTCTGTCCTTTTCAGTATTCTAAGAAAATCGGTAATTAGTTTTAGCATTTAATTAGTTTAGCTTCAGACAACTAACTGATTAGCTTTCAACATAAAGACAACACTGTATAACACATTTACAGTTTGCATTGATGCTGACATCCTCATATTCCCAGCCTTTCTAAGAAAGTTAATGACCGTCTGAAATTCATTTCTACAATTCATAGCTTTCTAACCTTTGTCATAGATATGTAGTATTTTATTCAACACACAGTATTTAAAAGGAGATAGTTTGGTGCTTAGGCCAATTTTGAAAGATACTGGGTTAAATTTCCTTTTTCTTAAAATTTGAAGTGAATTTAGAAATTATCAAATGATGTCTTGCTGTATAAATTATATTTTTAATAGTTTTCAGGAAATAAATGCATATTCAGAGAATATATATCGAGAATGTACAACTGCTCTCTATTTTACATGTTCTTATATATAACTTGACAAAATATGAATGCATTATTAATTGTAATTTCTTTCTCTCTGTAGGAAATTGATGGGAAGGCTCTGCTACTACTCAAAAGTGATGTGATGATGAAGTACATGGGGCTGAAGCTGGGGCCAGCATTAAAGTTATGTTACTACATTGAAAAACTAAAAGAAGGAAAATACAATTGAAAAAAAAATGTGTAAGTTTAGATTGGACAGCATTCTCTGTTATCCTGATAACTTTTAATTTAAAAATATTTTAATTCCCCTAGCAGCTTTTGTTTGGTAGACAGTTCCTCTAAAAATAGGTTATATCCAGAATTGCAGAACAACATGATAGTCCAATCTACTTCTTTAAAAAACCATTTACGTGTTAGTATTAGCATATTCAAATTGGGAGTTCTTTATGTCTTTTTATTGTTTTACAGTTTACAGTTTATCACTTTGTACAATTTACAAATGTATTTTCATGCTGGAAACAGAGAAACACCTTTGATTTCAGTTAATGTTTTTTTTTAATTTAATTTTATTACGTTAGTCACCATACATCATTAGTTTTTGATGTAGGGATCCACTAAGTTAATGTTTATATATAGAACCAAAACAGCTAAATCCCAAAGCGGGAAGTATCAGGGACTGACAAGTTCTCTAATGAAATCTGTGACGAGTTTTCCTTAGAAGAGAATTTAAAGATGCAGCTGTAGATACTCTTTCTCCAGATATTTTATGTCTGTTACTACAAGTTCTGTTCCTGTCCTGCCAGTCTCTAGAAAGGGAAAGCCATATAAGTTATTTTCCTTTTGTTATTATTTCTCTGTGTGTTGTATTTGTTCATATTTAAAGAAAAAAAGCAAGCTTATAAACTTTCATAAAGTGTTCTTAATCAGTTTTTGATAACTTTTGAACAATTATAGGATAAATAGAATGGTTGTTTTATGCAGGAGATATTATACTACAAGGGTGGTTTGGATGGAGTCTGATTAAATATTTTTCAATAATATACCTGTTATTTTAAAACATTACATATTTTTGCTAAGTGTAGACATTTAACTGGGCATTCATTTCTCACATCTCTATATGAAGACACCTGTGCCCAAATTTTTTAAAGATAGATATTTTATTGTCTGTGTTTATTCCTCATATGGATACTATACCGTATTTATATATTATTCTATACCTGTAGGTATACAAACAAGTAAATCTGTTCTTTTTGAATTTAATATGGCACTTTGTACCGCCACAGAGGTAATGGTGAACCCTATTTATATAGTTAGAGGTTTTTATTCTGTAAACAATATGTGCATCAATTGCTATGACTATTACCTCTCAGCTTTGTCTTCAGGGGATAAGAAACAATCCGTAGGTTGCTTTTCATACAGGGAAGCTCTCTGTCCTATGCAATGTTTCTAGTTAATTTGCTTAGCTCTGAGCCATTTATTCTGCTAAATTTTGGAAGATGCATTAATTCTGACTTACCATTTTGGGCTTTATTTTTAAAGTTAGAACTTTTAAGGGGAAATGGTGCTATATGTTGTAATTACATTGTATAAGTTTGGTGTAATGTTTATAAGCTATGAGAAGCTGTGCTAAAAGTCTTAGCCATTTGTTGTAAATGCCAACAAAATATACACCAGGGGCATGAATGTACATTTTCTTTCTCAGAAAACCAAATGTACTTTATATAAGAATGCAACTATTTAAAGGGTGGTTTTATCTCTGTTATTCCTTTTGTGTTAGAAGACAAAATTCTAATTTAAGCCTGGTCTTATTTCAAATTGTTTGTGTGAAGATGCTGTGCCCAGTTGAACAGTCCTCAGGTGTTTGTATGAATACTATGTTTTACAGTTTTCAGATTTTAAAATATAATAAAGTTTTAAAACCACAATAATGTCAGAGCCTCAGATTTGATTTTATTTGCTTTCACCGCATGACATTAATGTACGAATTTATTCGAGTTGATAAAGAAACGCTGTACTAAGTTTGTGGTTTTCTGCGTCCAGAGAGTTGAGTATTAACACTTGCCCTCATTCTACAGATAAGCAGATCGCTAGCAGCAAAGGGCCGATCTCTTGTAGGGCCTAAACGAGACCCCAGGGGAGCAGTACGAAGTTCCGTCGGTGAGCTTTGTGCTCAAAACCTGTTGCTCGCAATGGTATTGGTGACGCGAGCGCGCTGGAAAAGACCAGGGCCCCCCACATATCTCGTCCCCGTCCCCGAGTTCTTACGTCTGCCTCGCAGTTCTGGCTGCCCTTTTACCCCCGGGGTATGGTCTAGGCAGTGGAGGGGGGGACGTAGGTCGCTTATTCCTTAAAGCTCGTCTCCTGGGTTGCGAGCGCCCCCGGAGCCAGAGCAGGGGGTCCCACATGTGCAGAGTTACCTCGAGTATAGCAAGGAGAGTGGGGAAGCTCGAGCTGAGGACGTGCTCACCGTGGAGAGTTGCTTTCAAGGTGCAGTTCCATCAACCTTCAGGAGGAAATTGGGGGAAATGTCGGGAGGTAAAGGAAGGAACCCTGTCTGCCATGCATTGTGAACGTGGGCCCCGGGCGGAGGGCCAGGAGCCACACCGCCTTTCCGCCTTCAGCTCTCCGGGCTTACAGGGCGGAAAAGCCTCGGAGGCTCGGGATTGGGGTTGCATCGCCTTCAGGATCTGACCCCTTGCCCCTCTCCCCTACGCCAGGAGCTTCTGCTCCATGCCTTTGAACCCCGAAGCTCCTCCCGCTGCAACAGCGTGTCTGCTAGTTCATTCGGAGACGACAGGGTCCTCGCCGAGGCTCCAGGGCTGCTGCTCTAGTGGCTGGAACGGGGCTGTCACTGTGCTTGTCTGGGACTTGGGGGATTCAGAACCACTTGCTCTTTCCCGTCTGGTTTGTCAGCTTGTAGTCCAGAGAGAGCATGCCACGTTAGGCTCTTGTGAACTCTCCGGGCTTTTACAATGATCTTTCCTCTGGGTTTTGCCTCTCAGTCCCTCCTTCCAACACCAGCTGGCGCAATTCTGCAAGCTGACCTCGGCAGCCCTCCGGGCGCATGGAGCATTTGCTTTCGTCTTTGCATGATTTCTGATCATTGCAACGTCTTCAGAGTATGCGTTCCAGAGTAGGACTTCCCAGACTTTCAAACCCAGGCCCCCTCTGTAAGCATGAAAAAGCCAGGCCCTTCTGTAATATGACTAGAAATGAAAAGCTAACCCTCGTGACTAGGAACGACATGTCGTGGCGAGGAAAAGCACCGCCTTCCGAGTACGAAGGGGTTGCATTCACCGTTGGCTGAGTGAATGAAGTACGGTTGGAATTCTGGGGCTGTTGGTACAACATCTCTGGGTGAGATGCTGGGACGCGCTCGTATCTCTCAGTCCTCTGACGTTGATCCAGGGAACGAGGGCGGGCTCTCCGGCATGGAGGATGTGCCGCCCGGGGCCCACGTTCACAATGCATGGCAGACAGGGTTCCTTCCTTTACCTCCCGACATTTCCCCCAATTTCCTCCTGAAGGTTGATGGAACTGCACCTTGAAAGCAACTCTCCACGGTGAGCACGTCCTCAGCTCGAGCTTCCCCACTCTCCTTGCTATACTCGAGGTAACTCTGCACATGTGGGACCCCCTGCTCTGGCTCCAGGGGCGCTCGCAACCCAGGAGATGAGCTTTAAGGAATAAGTGACCTACCTCCCCCCCCTCCAGCTGCCTAGACCATAACTGAGGTGACCCAACGTTCATGGAAAGGAGAGCCTCGGGAAGCTCATGATAGAGCACGTGAGCCAGTTCCTAGCGACTGAGCGCTAAGTGTCCTACTACTGCAGTAATTCTCTGTCCCGCTCTTCAGCTGAAGAACCAAAGCGCTTACCTAAGCTCGTTCGTTTGGGGAACTAATCCCTCAGGGGCGAGGGGCAGGCGGGGCAGGCTGTGGCCTCAGGAAGCCCCACTCCACCTTTGGCCTCACTCTTGCACCTGCCTTTGGCTGGCCTGCGCTGCTCAAGTTCATCGATGTCAGGGGGTGGGGGTCTATATACTCCATGAGGCACAGAAAGAAGTCAATCCGGGGGGGGCGGGGAAGAATATACTACACGGTCTTTTTACATTCAGAGAAGATGAGAGAAATGAAGCTCCTTTACGTTGAATGTATGGACTGACACACGTGACGTGTTCCAAAGTGCTGCGTGGTGTTGACACGCCCCGCCCCGCCCCCAGCCTTTCTAAGTTCTCCCCCGTGCAGCCTGGAGGCGGCATTTCCCAGGCCCCCTTGCCAGCGGTGGGGGTTAGAGTCCCCCGCGAGGGAGAAGGTGGAAGGTAAGCAGAAGCAGTTTTCCTCTGGTGGCTGCTCAGGACAGGCCTTTGGCCGAGCAGAAGGCAGGCGTGCATTTGGCCAGCGGCCACTGGATGTGGTCTGGAGATTTCCCCACGTCAGGCACGCAGGAGGCTGAAACCATGGAGGGGGGCTTCCCCGCAACCCTTGCGTGCCTGGATCTCTGGGAATTGCCTGGCTCGCCTTGGCCCCCTGCCCTCCAGCAGCGGCAGAGGCTTCTGGATCTGTATCCAACCACTTCCACTCTGAAGACCTAGAATGTCACGTGTGCCCTCTCAAACCCTGACTGGTCTACCTCCCTCAGAAGGCTGCCCCGGAGAAGCTGCCCACTGTTGGGAGGGAGGAGTAGAAGGTCCACAGCGAGGGGCCTTTATGTAATCAGATCTGAGACGCCGCTGGCTGTAAGATGAGCCATCGTTTAATGGACCAAATAGGAGAGAGGAAGGTCGCCTCTTAAATCACACGCCATGGTCATCGATGCCGCCAATTTCATAGATGTTAGGAGGTGGGGAAAAGTGGGTGGGTTAAGACATAAAATGTTAACTCAAAAGCTGAACAGGTCGTTTTTAGAGGGATAAAGCAAAGAAACGGAGAACTAAAGACTGATCACGTGAGCCCAGTGGACAGCAAGAAAAGGGCAGCGCTAGTCTGAGCTTAGTAACAACCACACAGCACAAATTAAAACGGAGCAATCTAATCAGATCGGCCGGAGATTCGCAGTTCTCGAGGCTTTGAAATGTGAAAGTGTAGCCGATAGCATAAGCAGAAGGTCTTGCCATGAGTGTCTGTTTTGTCTTTGGGCATCAGCTGATGCTAGACAGAAGCCATCACATTTGGCAGGTCATTTGACAATTTCCTTGCGTCCACCGAAGAAAGAGGAAGTTGCCATGATGGTAGAGTAACACAGTCTTAAGGACATGTCATCCAGATGCCATGCGTGGACCTTGTTTAGATCCAGCCTAAGAGAAGCCAACAGTAAAAAGGCATCTATGCAACAGTCCAGGAGAGGTGGGCACCCAGTGGATATGAGATGACAGTAAAGAGTTACTCATTTAGGACAACAGGGCCACACCAGACTGACATGGTGATGAGCAACGTCTGTGCCCAAGAAGACCAGGAAGTGGATCTTTGGTAAACAGCCAGCCGTCTCAAGCATACATCGTGATCCTAATAGCAAAACGTAAGACATTCATACCTCCTTGAATTCTGCCAATTTCCTGGATACTCCCCTCCCCCCATTCCACTCACACACAGCTCCTCTGACCCTCCCTCCCTGCTTGATCTTCTCCATAGCACTCACACTTGGGGTGGGTTATATAACTGCGCCTAGTCCTCGCCTCCTCCTTTCCCTGTCAGAGGATCTTGAGTCCCATCCATTGGCATGGGCTAGCAGTTCCTTCTTACAGGCAAAACCGCTTGTCCATGCCCCCGTTGCCCCTGAACCCTGCTTTGGCCGAGACGTAAGTGGCCCTACGGCACATCAAGCCCCAGCAGAAGCTTCCCGGTGGCTTCTTGCTCATCTCTCTCTCCTTCCCCTCTGCTACGAGCACAGCGCGTGCCCCCCAGGGGCTGCTCCTTCAGACTGGCTTCTGGAGCAAGAAGGCGTGTGCGGCTGGGCCAGGCCATCCTGGCGCCTCGTACAGAGAATGTCCGAAGAAGTCAATGGGTGCAACTTCCTGGGTCTGGGGGACTTGACAGCGCAGCTCAAAAATAGGGTGAAATGTAGCTGAGGCCCTTGCTGACCTCGTTGGCACCTTGGAGGTCTCCCCCACTAGAGCGAACTCTGCGTTAAGGGCAGTGAGTCTCACCAGCTCGTTTCTTGGGCCAGCAGTGTCCGGATGGGCATCTGACCCAGAGCAGGGCCCGCCTATTTGTGCACTGACTCCTCCTCCCGGGAACCAAATTTAGCTTGAGTTTTTCTTGGTACCAAATTCATCCTGAGCCTTTCCACAAGTATGAGAGTTAGCGCCATAACTTGCCACCTGGCCCTTAGGTCATTTTCCGGTTGGTTTTTACGTAGAGTGCCAAGCACTGGAACCATAGGGAGAAAGAGTTACTGGAGAACAGTGTGGCTCCCAAGAGAGTGAAACACTGGAATTCTCAAGCAGTCACCTAGTTTAACATGACATTTCGCCAGCAGCCCCCGAGTCCCTCGTTCTTGCCTTCCCACTAAATATCTGGAATAGGAAATGAAATATCCTATTATCCAGATGAAATATCTGGAAGGAAATGAAAATGAGGAAAACGCACACCGCTCCTGGAAGCAAAGATGGGCAGGCCTGCGTTTGCTAGAGTCTGGGAAGTATTTCTACTCACTGGGAGGTCCGTGAGAAGATGCCCGTGACTTCCACGTTCACAGGTACTTCCTCCCCCGCCCCCGACGCGCACACAGGTGTGACGTCTGGGTGTGTATTACACCCCAGGGCGGCCTCAGACTTCCCCAAGCGCGGCCTTCGTGGTTCTGCCACGCTCCAGCCCTTGCCTTCCCACTCTCCTACGTCAGTTCCCAAACAGCCAGCACACTGCGGCCCTGGTCGGGAAGGAGGCGGAGGGGAGCGCCACTCTTCGGGGAGGTGGGCCAGAGACCCC